AATTTTAAAATTAAAGTCACAATTAAGAAGCTTAGAAATATTGGAAATTACAAACAATTACTCTTCTGATTGTCTTAAAAATTCAAAAAATATAACTGGAGAACTTCATTCTATGGGACCCTTAACTGAAATTAAAGAAGGCGATGTATTGGTTACTCCAGACAATTGTCTCGAACCAAAATATTTAGAAATTTTAGATTCTGCTAACATTCCAATCGAAGGTAAATAAATTTAAAATAAATATTTTTATAACAAAGAAAATTTATTTTAGTTTAATAATTTATTTTATTTCAGGACAATATAAGTTGTATGAAGATTTTTTTTTGCATACTTATCCGTGCATTTATATGAATTTAAGCGCATTTACAAAATGTATATCAAAATTCAAATATGTTTGCGACACAAATTCATTATTTAATGCTGCCGATGTTTGTAAAAGAAATTTTCTTACATTTAAAGAATATCTATTATTAATAGCAATTATGGAGCCCTACACATCCCATTATGGAACTTTGGGAGAAATAAGATGTCAATATATATTTAGGTAATAATTAAACAAATTTTTTTTTTTTTTTCAAAAAAAATTCTTATCGTTATTTTCTCTGACATAAAAAAACAAAAATTTTCCCAACCAATTTCTTTTTTTTTTTTTTTAAAAACAGATATTACAATCAAAGTAAAAATGGAAAAATAAATTTCAATGAATTTAAAAATTTATGTAATGATTTATTGCAAGCGAATAAAGACAATGAAAAAATAGAATCGAAAAAAGAAAATAAATTCGATTTAGCAAAGTGAGTTTTTATCGTTGAATTATTGATTTTTATCCTAAAAATCAATAAGTATTCAATTTATTTTTAGACATATTGAATTTAAAAGAAATTCTGAAATGACATTCGAACAATTCTACCATTATGTTACCCTGTCTAAAATACAAAATACATCTCTTTTACTTCGATTTTCACAAGAACACTGTTTCACAGCATTGTTAGTAACATATTTTTGTAAAAATTTATGTGACACTATTTATATTAAGTTTTAATTCTTTATATACATGTATTTAGGTCAGATCAACAAAGTTTTCAAGAAAATATCATTTTTGAAAAAATAATTATACCCCCAGGTGTGATAAATGTTGACTTTTTTATTTATAACACTCTCAGTATTTGATTTTTCCAATCAGACATACAATTTTTTTACAATTTTAAAAATTCTTTCTTTGTTAAACACATTAAAACATTTTTCTATTACAGGTTTACGAATAAAAGAATCTGAAAGTGATTACAAGTTAATCCTTAAACCAACATTTCTGAAACCAGAAGAATCTTCTTTGGAAGTAAAAGATGTTCGATTTTTAGAAGGTAAAGTTTTTTTTTATTTTTAAATTTATTTTATTATTATCACTATCACTATTATTATTATTATTATTATTTACTTATTTAGACACAATGACAAAATCAGTACAAGAGGATTTAAAAATTTTATCAAATATAAAAATCACTCGTAAAAGTTCACTTAATTTAGAAGGAAAAGTCGATGAATTGTTATTGGCATTAAAATATTTTTGTACAGAAGTGTGTCAGAGTCCAATATTTTGTGGGGAAGTTGAATTTGAAGAAAAGGAAGCTTACAGTTGGGGTTCTGCATATTTGGAAAAACTAGGAATTAGTCTCATGATGATTTGTGAGCACCTGAAGGAAATATTTAGTAAAGAACCTCGATTGCTGAGGATAAATTCACCGGTTTATGTCTTTGGTATAATTCCACAAAAACAATTTTTAAGTATTTTCCAATTTTTTTTTTTTTTGTATGATACCTTTTTTTTGTTGTTGCTCGAATAAAAAGGAGACTTGCACGGAAATTATCACGATTTAATGTGTTTGGAAAAAACATTATGGAGAAACGGTTTGGATTTTTTCCCTGCAAAAGTAATGTTGTTGGGAGATTATGTCGATCGAGGATCTCACGGTTTGGAAACGGTCATGTACCTATTTGCAAACAAATTAAAAAATCCAAATAAGGTGTACCTGATAAGGGGAAATCACGAAGTACGGGAAATACAAAAAATGTTTACGTTTCAAAGGTAGTTGGTTTTTTTTTTTTTTTTTTTGTAAAAACTAACAAATATTAAATATTCTTTAACCGAAAAAAATTTATATTTGATTTAAAACAGAGAATGTGTTTTTAAACTTGGTCCCACAATGGGTACCACCGTTTGGAATGCCATCAATGATGTTTTCGATAGAATGCCTTTGGCTGCAGTTATTGATAATAAAGTAAAAAATTATTATTATTATTATTATTAAAAAAATGATTTCAAAATTGAAAAAAAAAAAACATTTATTTATTATTATTATTATTATTATTATTATTGGAA